CTGGGACTGGAGTGCCAGGAGGCAGCGTGAGTGTCTAGCCTCCTACTCTATTGCTAGGCTCTGGGCTTCCCAAGTTATAAACAACAAAATCCTAATCACTTGATCCTGACCTTGACTCTTGGCTTCAACTTTAGACATCACCTTGAACCCACCAGATTCTAACATTTGATTCCAGGCCCCGATATGATATCCATATTCTTTTTTTGGAAGATGCTAGGATGGAACCCAGGGCCTTGTGCATTCTAGCAAGTGCTCACCACTGAGCCACGCCCCCAGCCCCTCACTGAGGGATTCTAGGCAGGGGCTCTACCACTGAGCCACGCCCCCAGCCTCTCACTGGGGGATTCTAGGCCATCACTCTCTCTAGCCCCCAGCCCCTCACTGGGGGATCCTAGGCAGGGGCTCTACCACTGAGCCACGCCCCCAGCCCCTCACTGGGGGATTCTAGGCAGGGGCTCTAACCCTGTGTCCGCTCCCCCTGAACCTCTCATTTGTGGATCCTAGGCAAGTGCTTTACTCCTGAGGTGTACCCAATCCCCACTCATATTCTGTCCTCTGCTCAGATCTGACTCCTTCCCAGATCCCTGCCCTTCATACTTTGACCTTTAGTCTCTAGAATCCTTTAGACCCTGGTCCCTTTCCTGTGCCAATTTCCCAAATCTCCATTGTAGTTCTCATGCTGTGTCCAAACCCTTAGCTGCAGTCGTCATCTCTGATTGACTCCTGTCCTGTGTGCTGCCCCAGGAGATCTCCTTCTTCTTCCTGGAGCCCTACCGCTCTTCAGCCTGCACCTCCTACTCCTCCTGTCTGGGCTGCCTGGCCGATCAGGGCTGCGGCTGGTGCCTCAACAGTGACACCTGTCACCTGCGACAGGGGAGGGCCCACTGTGAGGATGATGGGACAGGCAGGCCCCTCCTGGTGCTGGTACCTGCCCTCTGTCCACTCTGTGAGGAGCATCGTGACTGCCATGCCTGCACCCAGGTGTCTACTGGGATAGGTTCCCTGAGAGGCGGCACAGACAGTCGGGGGCCCTGGTGAGGGCAGATAGCTGGGACCATTGTCCTCGGTCTCTCAGAATTCAGTAGGCAGCAGAGGAAGCGGGGCTGGGAGAGATGGGTGCTGGGGAGTCGAGGTCAGAGGTCAAAAAAACCGCTGAGCATTCATCACCAGTGGGAGCCTGGCGTAGGAGGACAGGCCTGCTAGCTCCAGCTGGGGACATCCGGCCTCCTCTGCTCTGCTGCCTATTTCTAGGGAGAGTTTGTTCTTGTGACCTGCAGGGAGGCCATGACCCAGCCTCTTCTTGTCATTCAGTCCCATGCAGAGCTGGTTTCATTGGCTAGAAATTGATCTTTTTTTCCTTTTGATACTCAATCTTGCCATCTAGCCTGGGTTGGCCTCTACCTCCCAAGTGCTGAGATCCCTGGCATGTGGTGCCATGCTGGACTCCCAGTTGGGTTTTGTGTTGGCTCCTGTCTAG